TCTTAAAATGGCTGTAATATATTAAAGCTTATGTGAAATTATATTATTTGGGTTTTGTACTTTGCTTTAAGGTAAACTGAATGAACCTTCTGACTTTTACAGAGAAAGTGTTAGTAGGTCACTAAATGTTTTTATGGGTAGCCCGTAATTGCTTTTTATTTGCGTAGGTTTACAATCATGAGAGTCTTTTAATGATTTCCTGTGATACTTGCCTAGGAGCACAGCTAGAGTGCAGGCAAGTACGGTGGTGTAGATAATATAGATCAGATTCTCACAATGCCAATCTGCAAAGGTTTTGTAAACTATAAAAGTTTTTGGTCTGATGTGCAGATATTTACGAAAAGGTTCCATTTAACTACCAAAAGTGTTATTATGTACTAAAACTTTTACCTCAACTCTGCATTATCGCGTATATTATTTGAAAAACCAGTGTAAAGGACACACCCCTAACATGGTCCCATAAGAGGGACGGTCCCTCCAAATGAGTTAGAGTAGGGAGTTATGGACTTATTTCCCCTCTGCTACAATTTTTGCTCCATCTTCCATAAATCAGCATAACTCAGGTTTCCTTTTCAACTTTTCTCAATACTGAAAGCATTAAGAACACAATAAATAAATCTTCATTTATTACACCTGTCCACCCTTGTCCTTTATGATGGTCAGCCTCTTTGTTATCACTAATTTTAATAACTTCCTTCACCTTTAATAGGTGAATACAGAAGGATGGATGGAAATGTATTTATCTCATCTGGATGTATTTACATGCAGCATAACACAGCATAAACTTTTGAAACAGACACATTTATTTAGACTTAGGCCCCATTCACACTGAGCGACATGAAAATCGCGAGATTTGTCACGCGATTTTATATGAGCAATATTGAGCGACATGGCATGACTTTTTCCTATTGGGCTGTATGCAATCAGGAGCACAATCGCTCAAAAAGGGTCATGTAGGAGCGACAAGTTACAGCGACGAGCTACAAGCGATATTGAGCAATATTGAGCGACGAGATGTGAACAGCTCCATTGAAATGGATTGGAGAAGCTACATAGAGCGATATCGTGTGGAAATATGAGCGATATCGCTGAAAAAATCGCGCGATAAATCGCTCAGTGTGAATGGGGCCTTAAAGGGTTTCTAAATTCTCAGTTATTTTGCATATATCTACTGCTGGCAAGCAGTAGATATATGCAAAAACATAAAAATAAAAACGCTTTAAAAGTGGTTTAAACTTACTTGTGTCTTTCCCGCGCGCTACCTTCCGAAAATCTGAAAATTCTCGGGCGGCCACAAAGCTTCTTGGGGCGGGCAAATGCGCAGTTCAGATTTTCGGCCGGGAGACGAGGAGAGACGCAAGGTAAGTCTATGGAGACACCGTGGGACAGGAAGTGCCAGCAAGCCCAGAGGAGTCAGCGCTGTATCGGAGACCCGCAGCAGCGCTGGAGAGAAGGCTGAAAAGGACAGGAAAGAAGAAGATCGGATTAAGAGACATAATTTAAGGTAAGTGTTTTACTTAACATTGGGGGGGAGAGAAAAAAACATTTGACTTTAATGTCACTTTAATGATATTTGTATGCATATTTATTCAGATTACTTTTGTAATGTGTATTTAATGCACATTTGAGGAGCTTTTAAAAAAATGAAACACATTATTATTAAGATTATTCTCTATAGCAAATGTATTTCTATAGTAAAATGCTTTAAGCTGTGCTTTTCTACCCATAGGAGGTGATTGGGGGCAGTATAGTTAATATTAGAGCTGCACCGAAATGAGAATTTCAAAACCGAAATGAAAACAAATGTCAGGCCAAAACTGAAATCGAAACCGAAAATGTTTTTTTTTTCCAACCTTTTCGCATTTTTTATAATAGTTGTTCATTTGTATTTATTTTTTATAAACGTTTTAATTTTTGATATTTTATTTACGTATTTTTTATTAAATATTTTAATGTTTTTACTTTGCTGTTGGGGGCTTCGAGGGAAATATTAGGGGTCTAAACAAACTCCTGATATTTCCCTTTTAATATATCAAAAGAGATTGCGAACACAGAGTCCTAAATCTCTTTTTCTGCAGCCCTTGTGCATCAGAGGTGTCCTGCTTGCTCTGCCCACTGATCTCACAGTTTGGCATGGAGCAAGTGCAAGAATGTTTCGTGACCGTGGTATATAAAGGAGAAAATGAAATATTGGGGGAAAAGTATTTTAATGTGTTCTAAATTCTGTTGCTTCTATTCCTCTATTGCCCTATCATACATATGAACTGGTGGCAGTGAGTTTAAAAACACTTTAATTATGTTTGTATTACAAAAGGTTGCAGTATAGTGTTACAATTGCTGTTTTCTTGCAACCATGACTTTGACCAGAAATGGGGTTAATTCCTTTGCTATATCTATAGCATCCTACGGCTCATATATTCACCGCATAATGAACCCCATAGATTTGGGTCTGGTCGCACAAACCAGCTCAGGTTGCAATAGTGTGCAAATACAACAATATACAGTCAATGTTTATAGCACCTACATAACTGTTCTGTTTTCGTCAATAGCCCATATTAAATATAATTTTACAGATTTCACTACAGGTCTTCCGGAACAATTACACTCATGACTATGTTGCAGAAAACTGGTGAACCTATTTATGGTTCATTTGGTCCTCATGTTAATGGTACATGGTTGGTGGGACCACAGCAGGCATTCCCAACACATGTTGTAGACACATACCATGTAATTGTGCACGTACCCTTAACACAACACAGCATCTACAGAGATAGAATATAGAAGCACTTTTTCCCAGCATGCAAAGCAT